ATACTTACACTGCGTGCTTGCATACCCATCACTTGCATACTTACACTTGCATACTTTGGCACTTGCATACTTTGCACTTGGACGCTTTCGCTCTTCCACTTACACTGTGGTGGAAGTGTCAGTGTGTAAGTGTAAGTGTCGAAGTGTCAGTGTATGTAGTGCAAATGTGGTGGAAGTGTCAGTGTGTAAGTGTAAGTGTCGAAGTGTCAGTGTTCAAGGGATTTTCCGGAAGAACCCTTCGCAATGTTTTCGGAAAAAAGGAAAATTGACTAACTGTGTATATATATATATATATACAAGACTCACATCACAAACTTCGTCCTGATTGCCCCGCCTCTTTCTGATTGGTCTTCCGCAAGCTGGCTGGCCTTGGCATGGTGCGGAAAGCACTCCAAAAGCCTGCATCTTAAAGTTGAATGCGGTATGTATATATAGTACATAATTATCTATATGTATAATATACACATGCATCTATATATATATATTACTTAGTTGCTAGGCAAAAGAACAAACAAACTCTGCCACCATTAAAATAGTATTACTGTACATAAGAGCTGCCAGCATTGCGAACGACCCCAGGCTTCATCGCCAACGAGCCTCTGTTGTGGCGGGGCGGCTTTGGCTTTCGCCATCCGAACTTGCAGGCAGTGGGGATTCAAAGCGTCTGGTCGGATGTGATGAATGTGATCGCTGCTGCGGGGCAGAGGAAGAGTTGGAAGGCCCCCGTTGTCTGCCAACTTGCTGCCCTAATTGCCATGCGAGTCTGCAAGCTTCGAGCAGTGGATGCTTGGTGCACTTCGGAAAGACTGTCAGGAGATGCATGGCTGAAGGATCTGTGGTGCATGGACAAGGACGCAACTTGTCCTTGCTACAGTGCTCTTTTGGCTGCTGCTTGCACCAAGAACTGCAACAGTGCGCGCAAGCAGAAGTACGGCCCGGGCATAATGTTCACAAAACTGGCAAGCAAATGGTGGTTGCTTTTGAGATGAGAATGCGTTGAGTGTTTGATTGGCCCTTGCCTAACTATGGTCCTTGTTCGCACCAAATCCAAGCAAAACGGCTCGCCATCGCAAATCTGCAACACGTCTTAATGCATTGGCTCATGGTGACCTGTAGGCACTCTTTTCTGAGCTGTCAAACGTCCATGAGGTGCTATCGGTACTTGCCGCCGTACCTTTGCACAGCTGAGGCATGAAGAACAGTTTTAAGTCTGAACTGCTAAGCTGCAAAGGCTTGTGAACACCAGGGCACTGCGGGCACTGCCCCTTGGCTTCATGGCTTTGCCGTGAGTTACTAAGAAGTGCCTCAGTGTCATTTCCTTTGCTAGAGGGTCTTTGCATGGTTTTGCCACCTTCATGTTAGTGGGCCGGAGTGTAAAGATAAATGTCTCTATCTCTCTCTGGGGCACTCATTCTTGCCCTTCTTGGAGTCGGTACCCAGCTCGAAGTGCTTGGTCCGCTTGATGGGTTTCATGCGCTTGGCCTGGCCCAGCACACCCAAACTGCGGTGGCAAAAACGGTGTTGATCCCACCTAGGGCGAACCTCCCTCAAACAGGAAGCAGAACGAGTGTCCACTGCCTATTTCCACCAAGCGGTCAGGTTCGGCTTCAAATTAGAATCAATATCGACACCCCCGCATGCACCACAGTCTCAAACTGTGTACTGCCACTGGGGCAAGGATTCCTTTCTCACACTCGAGCCTTGCACTTGGAGCACTCAAACTTGAGCACAATCCTCAGGCACGAGACTCCAAATGAAGGATCAAGACCAGCATACCTCCTACTTTGGCAGTTTAATAGCCGTAAGTTATAGCTGTGGAGAAAGGAGGGCGAAAGCCAGCTGTGGAGCATTGCACGAACACCTTTCTGATTCTGATGCAAATCATGCAGCTACGTCCAACTGTGACTTGCATGTTCTGCATCACCAACTCACTCAAAATGGACTCCACTTGGCATGGTCTGCCACTCACTTCATCCGCAGAAACTACTTCTGCCTGGGCTGGCCTTCCTAATTATAATCTTGATCTTGCAATCCACTTCTAACTTTGACAGCACATGTGATGTCTGAATGTGTGACGGTTTAATCTGCCCACGGCCACCCCATGACAATCTTCCTCCTCTTCTTCATCTAGCCTCAAACCTAGTAGCGATGGCCTCTAACCTACTAGAGATGGCCTCCGAACTAAGACGTGCCCGTTTCTTCATCTGTTCCTGTCCACCCACCCACGCTTGCCAAAGTCGCTTCTTCGTCGTCTTGGCCTGAAACAGGCCCAACTCATTAGGGCACGGCACTTGACACGGTTTGGTGGGGCTCATGCGCATCGGCTTAATGAATGCCGGCCTCTCTCAAACGTCTCTCACCTGCAGTTGGGCTGCCAGCCTTCTTGTGAAAGATCGGCTTGGTTTGACCACCGTAGCCTGCTTGCTTCTTGTCCTTGATGCCAGCTAGGCCACGAGTGGGCAAGCAAGTTATGACAAGTCCCACTCAAATTTGTCAGGCTGTGCGTGATTGGGACCCCCGTTCTACGACTTCTTAGGGGCTGAAGCACTTTGAGACCAGGGAGCCCAAGGCCTCTCCAGCGCAAAAAAAGCGGATCCCTGGAAGGCAGCCAGGACACGTATCTGCGCTTACCTTGCGCCGTTTTGGAGGCTTTGCCAGTCTTATACTGCGAGACCTGACCGGAGCGAGGAGTCGTGCCAACGCGTCTTATGCCCACGCGTCTTATGCCAACGCGTCTTCTCCACGTCGACCCACCTTATGAGTTGTGTGCTTCTTGCACTTTCGGCAATACCTCGGCGCAAAGGTGGACAATGGACAAGATAAGCCGGGTCGCGGTGTCTGTTACAAACCACCTATAGGTTGTTTGGGGTTGAGGTCTTGCCGGTCTCGGAGAGTCTCAAGAGTCTCACTTGATGCTACGCGACACTTGGAGCCAAAATTGAACCAATAGAATCTAACAACCTGCACCTAGTGATACGATGGTTGGCCAAAGAGCCAAACCAAGGAATCCAAAAGGGAGTTGGAAGAGTCTACCGCATCCAGGACAGAAGCAGCTCTCACCTAGATCCAAGCCACGTGCTCCGCGTCTTTGGGATGTTCCTGGGTGCATCCCACTGAGATAGAAATTGTTCACCGGTGCAATGATTGGTTGCGGGTCGGAGTTCTTCAAGGGTGTGGGGGCATGTTCTTTTTCTTCGACTCCAATTCAACGGACTCATTGTCTCTTAATGACCACTGAGAAGAACCTCCGTCCTTCACCACTGCTGCTTCCTACCTAGCCAACTCCGACTGTCAATCCATCTTTCAAAAAAGATTGCTGAAAACTGGAGAACCACAATCAACCAATCAACGTGAACTTTACCGGGAAAGGATGCACTAATTTAGTGGTTCGTTCCCAGAAAAAAACGCTCGTGGCTTAGGTACAATCCGTCTCATTGACCCAAGTTAGACCACACCTGGTAGAGGAAATCCATGGGAGCGGCACTTCCACGCGCGTTCTTTCTCCGTGAACGCATGTTCAGTTCTTCCGGGACAAGCATCACCATGGTGCCGAATCAGGGGACGTGGTGTTGACCGCTGGAGCCCAAAAAGCAAGATGACAGCACAAGCGTTCTGAAAGAAGCTGAGTTTTGCATGGACAACACACACAAGCCATATACTCCCTAAAATTAAAAGCGTTTGAAAGCGAAGACGAAGGGAGGTCCCACTTTCTCATGAAAGCTCTGCAATGAAAACAACATGGATCTCTTTCAAATTGATTTCCTGCGCAAATACCGAGAGCAATCCGGGCCTCAGGCGTCTTTGACCACCTCGGCGGGCGAAGGCAAAGATTGAGAGACCAAAAGCGCTTCATTCAGTCCGACTGCAGCCCTGCAATGCGTCACAACGACCCCCGCGGCGTGCCCCAGGAGGTATCGTGCGACCCATCCTGCCCGCTGGAGCACTTGTCCCCAGTGAACGGGACCTTTTCCTATGCCCCATGCCCTATGCCCTATGTTAATAGATGATCTCACTGCAAAAATGGAAGTAAACAGGAAACCGATCACGGTGGCCAATGGAATAGTATTGTTTGAGCATGTTTGAGCTCACACCGCTGGCCTCCATGCGAATATGGGAGCCCGGACGCAGCAGCAAGGGTGGCCAGTGCAGACTCCACCGGTGCCCGTTGGGCCTGTGATGAAGACGTAGACCTGTGGACCGGGCACACGGAACCGCACGGCGCCTCGGCACATGGCTGCCTTGGCAAACCAAAGTGATGGAAGGGCAACACATGTCGCATGTCGCAGCAAACATGTACAGCGAGACACTCAGTTAAGACCTCAGGATCCAATTCCTTTGCTCCGACTGCTGTGTCTTTATTGCAAATCTGTTCTAGGACGCTCTTGCAGATTTCGTGCCACCGTTTGAGTTTGATTGCGACTTCGCATCCTCCCCATTACAACCACTGCTCCACCTCAGAACCAAGCTGCCCTGGTGGCTCCACGACTTTCAACTCGAATGTGCCCGAACCTGGACGGCGCGAATCACCCCCAGTCACTTCTAAGCTCGTCCCAGGAACTTACAGTTATATAAAGACGTCCTCTAGGAAAACCTCCGTGCTTACATTGCATGTATGTACGGCGTTTTGTTCTGTCTTGGGGAGGTGGTGCCTCTCATCAACCCAAGCAATGTCTCATGGCTCCGCTCGCCTTTCACTAAAGCCATCAACTGGCTCTGCACCCTGCACGGCTGGCGCGTTTAGAGTGTCAGCTGTGTTTTGGGGTGTCAGGGTGGGGCAGTTGCAATGCGCATGAGGTTGGCAATGATCAAGCTGTGTGGGCTTCCTGCAGTTGCGACAAGCGAAGGGCTGACAAAGGCCAAGCGTGCTGTGGTTCACTCGATATGAGTTGTGGAGTAAAGCATGGCTCTTGCCCACGGGAAGTGCAAGCGGACGCAGCTGCTCAGAGGTTCTCTGAGGCAACTAATGTGCGAGATCGAACGGGCACCATGATCAGCATGATGCGGTGGGCCGCCACAGAAAGGCATGGATAATTTCATGTGTGGAGGAAAAAGATGTTGTGCCCATGAATGGCGTCAGCTCTTACTGGCCTGGCAATAGCAAAACAACAACTGCTGGCACCACCCTTTTTTCCATCTTGAGAGGCCTCAGGCGCCTCAGGCTCCAACTAGAGCGCACTAATGCTTTACCAAACAAAGAGTGGAATGCGTCGCAAGTTCCATCGAAGAATTTCCAAGTATGCCTTCCCAAACCTCGCATCCGGTTCCAGTACCGCTTGCTCATTCCCACTCATTCCACGCAGTGGTCACAAACAGGTTTGTGCCAATCTGAGAAGAGTTTTTGCACACGCCACTCCGAGCAAGAGCCGGCATCCCCACTCTTTCTTGCTCATGGCTGATGTTGGAAGCCCAATCTAGGCTTAAAACATGAAAACCACTGCTCGCTCGACTTTGGACAGCATCTTGGCAACATTCGCCTCCCTCAGCCTTGGCCCTTTAAAAAGAACCATGCTGCACCAGTCAGGAGCACCGCGGCAGGCACGATGGATGACCAATCAATCTGTTCGTCGGTCGCAGCCGGATGACTCAAAGGCTGCTCTTCGTAGCCTGGCAGGATCACATGGCACATACATGCAGAATCAACAGGGATCGCAATGAACTGAGCCGTGAGGAAGGGGACATGGGGACATGGGTTGGAACACACTTCATCGAATGCGCCCTGAGCCCATCATGTTCACAGATCGAAGGAACCCCTTGGAACCGCTCAGCACGTACCTGCGCGCCTCTCAGCACTCGCACATCTGGGTGATCAGCCCCACGGCTCTTCTGCAGTTGACTTCGCGCCAGGTGAATCCATGGTAAGGCCTCCAACAGTCTCTGCTGTGAACTCTGAGGCAAGAATATTGGCTGTGATTGGCGGTTCAAGTTTTGGGGGTCCGGAGAAATTCACTCCTCTCATGACAGACCTTACTTTCCGCGTCTCCCATCCGCGGGAATGCACACCTCTTCCGCCGGCCGACGTGCCAACAACAAGCACTGGAAGGCGTGATAGGAGGCCTCGACAGCAGAACAGAAAGAGTTGGGGTTGGTGTACATAAGGGGGAACTAAGGGGGAACCCTTGGTGTTTCCAACCTCCAACCACCAACCATCCCTAATCTTGAGACCCTTTGAACCGGACGAACAAGGCATCGCTCGCCTGCGCACGGAAGCCTTGAAGTGCAAGGCCTTCTTCATCGCATAGCTGGAGGAGCTCCTGCATGAAGGACTGAACATGCTCCCCACACAACATAGGTGCACATGCCGACGGCGGCCAAGTGTCCTATTGTTGTTTCTTGCCGGTGTTCTGCATAAATCTGAAGTTCGAGGGACGCACTGGCCTGTTTATCAAGTATTGCATTGTATAGCCCATACAACCTTGCTGCAGCATGAGTACGGAATGTCTCCTGGCATCTGAATGACATTAATGTCAAACTTATGCAGCAATGCATAGCTATGCCAGCTATGCTAAAGACTAGTGATGTCACTGCTCCCAAAGTCGCGTGTACAAATATGTCAACACATATTGAATTAAGTATTACGAATTAAATATATGTGTAACATATATGATTATGTGTGTATATGTGTGTGTGTGTGTGTGCGTGCGCGCGTATCTATCTGTGTGAGTGTGCAAATAGGTCTCTACTAGCTACTGCTACATTTGTGGGGCCAGCGAAATGCAGCAACGAGTTGGACACAGGGGCGTCAACCATTTTGCCAGGACCGTCGTCAACCATTTTTCCTCGGTCAACACACTCGTGAGTCAGTTGTTCCTGGAACCCAAAATCGTGAGCCCTGGAACCCGAACCATTGACAGAAATGGTCTACTCAAGCCCTGCATCTTGGATGTTCCACGCGAGAAGCTTCTTCCGATTTGCTGTGCAAAAAGAGCCCGGGGGTCAACTCCAAACAGCACTATGACACACAACCTGAGTGGGGGGCACAGTCTCAAGGAAGCTCACCACAAGCAAACCCAAGCCCACCCGGAGGAAGTGCGCAGGATGCCCCCACTGTTTGAGACATTATCCTAATTGTGATCCTTGATTTTCAAAGCTCATCAACCTCCCAAACCACTTGAGGAAAATGTTCTCTTCACTAGGCGGTCAGCAACTTGACACAACAACAAACAAGTAGTTGAATACCTGTACACCGTGTAGTTATGGGAGGCTGGTCTGACTTTCTGCGAAACCTCTGGGCCTCTTGGCCAAAGAAGTGGCACAAACTGCTCTTCGTTTGGAGCGCTGCTTTTGTACATGTGCCATGTAGTGGTACTCACACTCGCGAGATCCAGGTGCCACTGGGCGCTTACATCGCCAACCCTTTCCATCAGCCCTATTGCAAGTGCCAGGCATAGGAAGCGACTTGCCCGCAGCTCCTTCTCGTCTGTTTCGGGGTCCGCTTTTCTTCGGGCAGTGCTTCTGACAGCGAATGCCCGGCGGGCCAAACCCATCTAATTCACGGACGTGCCTCGCAGGCTTGCAAAGGCATCCACTGATGCTACAGGTCTTCCCTCCGTGCTTGAAGCAACGCCGCCCCGCAGGCCCCAAACTATCAGGACCCTGCACTGTGCCCCAATGGGCCCGGGCACAACCTGCCACATTGCAGCCACCACCATGCCGCCCGCATCGAAAGCCTGCAGGCCCGAGATGATCGGCCAAAGCCCTCCCGAGAATCTGGCGCCGGCAGCCTGGCATAGTGCAGCACTTTGAGGCTCGGTGCCGAGCACATCTCAAACCTTCGGAGCCAGCTGGTCCACAGGCCCGTCTCTTGCACAGGGGCACCTCACACCTGCGAAGCGAAACTGAGTCCGAACATCTCAGGGGAGGATGGCATGTGGCAAACAACATGGCATGCCGCATGCCGCCTTTCAACACCGGCGAAGCGAGAAGCACGCACAAACTTAACGACTCAATCGTCTATCACCGGTTATACTAATTATACTCTAAATTATGTAATCATGATACTGATGCTATTAAGATAAACACCATCAAACCACGTCAAACCTGCGTTCACATGCCTCCTAGCACCATGCTGATAGCAGCGATGCCCCGCCAGGCCGCAGTCATCCTCCCTCGCCACCCGGCCGACCGAGGTCCGCCCGCAGCCGGGCACGTTGCAGGGGAGCCGTCCGCCGTGCAGATCACAACGCCAGCCCGCGCGCCCATGGAGGTCTGGCCTTAAGGTCATTCGTCCTGCTTTCCTGGTGCTGCAAAATGGATCGAAATAGTTTCGGACAAATAACCAACTTGGTTGCCTTGGAGCATTGTCTTGCTGAGTTGGGGTGGTTGTGCCTCTTAAAGGGGGCTCGGGAATCGATTCGTGATCAGGGCCTTGCCCTTGTCCTTTCAACAAACGTGTTGGCTTGGAGAGCTACTACAGGCATGCGAAGCAGTAGGATCCTTCAGGGGCAAAAAAACACATTAAACTTAAACAAATTATGCCGAAGCAAATCGGGCTGTTCCGTGAGCAGTTGGCCACTTCACACCTCCTTCGCCGGACCCTCGGTCCACACCTCTTCAAGCCTTTGGCAGCGGCAGAAGGCTTCCTCCTGGTGGGTGCTAAAACTGCATCAGTCCAGGGTTCCACCCCAAGCCAAGGTGGGCATATCTCATGCCCGCCCTCTCGGAGTTGCTGCAGCACCTTTCGGCAGAACAGCGCCGCCAGCTTCAGGTACGACCTGACTGCCGGCAAGTCCAAGTGGGAGGCACTTTCATTAGTGAGCTCCAACAAGCTGAACTCTCGCGAGCGGAATCGGTCAGAATCCGAAGGCTCTTCTGCGTTCCGCGCTTCCAGCATGACCTGGATCGCTGCCACACAGCCTGAACCGCTCAATGGCCGCAATTCACGGAAAGATCATGAAAAGCACTTAAAGCAAGGTCGTGCGCCAAGGAAATGCAAAACAAGTCAAAACAATTCATTCAATACCTGGTGGACAAAGTACTGGAGGCTTACGAGGCCCGAGGCAGATTTATGGTAAACGAATCTCTAAAGAATGGTATGTCTGACCTTGGCTCTCTATCAAAATGCCAAACCACGTAAATCCATAAAATGAGATGATCAACCTTAAGCAACCAAAAAGGAATCCGGCACAACCTCATTCTGTGGTGAACTTAGGCTGGGCGCGGAAGCTGGAACTCAGTAGTTGGATGGGAGCCGTCCCCGAAAAAAACGAGAGAGACACAGGGCAAAGGGCAAACTTCTTTAGAAAAAAAACTAATCGGTGTGTCACTGCTGCTGTGGTTATTAGTTGCATTTTGCCCGGTTCTCTCCTCTTGTGCTGTTGCTTTCTTGATTTCTTTTGAAGATGTTCAACGTTTACCAAAAATTGAAAATATGGAACGTTTACCGTGGGTTGATCTCCTTTCGCTTTCGCCCTCACCGCCACCAAAATCCTTTCCTTTCTTTTCTTCAATGTTTGGGGAGTAATTTGCGGGAACTGTTACTAGTTCAGTCTGTAAATGTTCATCGTGGAAAGAACATCCTCAGAATAAATGGCACAGCACGGTGCAGTGTTTGTACTGTAAAATGGATACCAAATGTCTTACCTTCTTTTTTTGCCAGGATGATCTATCTGAAAATGACCCCTCGACAAAATGCAATGTTCCGACTTTGGCCTTGTTCATCCAGGGTACCAGGGTACTTGTACCCTCACTATGGGTCCATGAACAGCATGTTGCAGGTGTCAAGTCGAGGGTACACATTTATAGTAATGATTCATAGCACGCATTGCCAAAACCATCCAAAAAAAACATCCAAAGGCTAATTCTCAAACAGCCCCACATTCCAGTACATTCCCGTGAGTCCCAGCAGCATAGGATGACCTCACAAAGCCGACTTCCATCCTCCGCAATCACCGCCTGATCCATTTCCTGCCGCAGCTGGGCGACGCGCAGCTCGTCCCATCCGTCCCATCTGCCGTCCACCCTGGGCTGCTCGTGGGCTGCCAAGTCTGCGGAAGGCTCGATCGGCACAGGATCGAAGAAAAGGCCAGGGAAGACCTTGGCTGAGGAGAGGGTCCAAAGAGCGCAGGTGCATTCGCTACCCTTCAGAACCTATAACATCATATATAACTATCTAGAACTTCTCCAAAGGCATGCGACATCAAAACCAAGAAACCATCTTGGCTCGGTTGAACCCTTCCTGTTCCCAAGCTCCTGGGCGTTCATCTGCCTGGAAAGCCACTCTGACCTTTGCAAGGCTTCCGCCCAGGCCCACCTCCTGCAGGACATCTGGATGCACCTCGTGCCTGGGTGCCACGTAGACCGCGCCATTCTGCCCCCGGATGCCGATCCCGAAGGTCAAAGCGCAGTGCACGTGCCCAAACATCCAAACGGCCTCCATCGCGAAGTGCGCGCGCGTCGCGAAGTGCGCACGCAGTAGCCAGGGGGTTGTTGGGTCATGATTTCGTGGTGCAAACATGCACCCATGCACCTCCTGGAAAAGCAGCCTGCGACCATACCTTACAAAAGGATTCACGGAAATTCTACGATTCTACGCCAAGGTCATGAAACGCCCCGGCTAACCTCAGGGAAATGCTGCTGCTTAAGGGCCTTGATTCCCATCAAGCTCTTCCTCGCCATTTTCCAGGCACAGCGTCCAACGTCACACGGGAAGCATGCTCGACAGGACAGGGCGGACGAGGGACATAGCACCTTCTGTTTGGGCCGAGACAGCGTAGGGCTGCATGACAAAGCACGAGGAGCGCATCTTAGAGGATTGTGGTACAAAAACAACCCCCCCCTCATCCAGGACCCGCGGTCAGTGGTCCCAAGCATGCGGTGATCCTTGGGTCACTGACTATCCACTGTCCTTGGCCAAAGAAGTCCCAGCATCAGCATCAGGGCTAACACCTGCGTCGTCTTGCAAGGAATCTTTGTCAGGCAAGGTCCAATTCCTTCCATCCACGTACAGCCGTAGACACTTCAAGACCTGGAAAAAATGTACCATAATAATAATCCATAGCTATATATATATATAATAACATGTGTGCACACAACTCGTGTAGACATGTAACAGGACCTCTCTCACCCCAACTGCCTCGATTTAACTGCCGCACCAACTCTCCGAGACGCCGTCGGCGCTGGTCACTGGCATCGTGCGACTGCTCTTGGCATGCCGGGCAATGGCACTGAAATGCATAGCCTGCAGAGGCGAAATAGTAGCGATGCCAGGAGCCCCTAGTAGCGTCCTTGCTCCTACTAGTTAGTTGTTTTTACTTTAACAAAGGTCAGCAACACCTTCCAAGTTGTGATCTGGTAGCTTCGGCAGTGTTTTTTTTGGTGTTTCTTGAAGCCTGTGGGTTGGGACGTGAGGACCAGAAGACCGTGGTTCCAAACCCGGTGGACGCTCCGAACCTGGCTTCCGGGCAAGATACGGCGGCGAAAGATCTCTTCTCGCTGAGTGTAGGGCAGGAAGGGCTCCAAGTAAGAGAAGCAAAGCTCTTCACCTTTCTTGATGTCCTGACGGCCGACTCAGCTTACAAAGTAAATATAGTCCAATGGTCATGAAATAGGAGTATTGGAAAGCCCAAGTTCACCAATCGAATCTTGCGTGATCTAAACTCTTGCTTGCACCGTTGCCGTTCTTGAATCTTCTGTCCGCTGTATACATAACATCATATCATTCCCTCTTTCTATGTGTATATATATATATATAAAACATGAGTAATATATATATAGTCCATTATAGTCCAATGTCTTCATGTGTCAGGGACCAAGGACGCAAGGTACCCCACACCTTGCAGGCAAACAACTTCTGACGGAACATCTCGTCATCCCAGAACTGCTCACCTCGGCACCAGCCCTGGCAGCCTAAATGAAAGTGTGCACTCTTCCTTTAAAAAAATCGGGAGGGCCGAGAACCGTGCCGTACAGCGCTTACATAGACTATTTGATTTACTTTGGACTGTATATAGGTAAGGAGTGAGCAGATTGTCCTCCATCTAAAATCTTACCAATACCAAGGTGCTGGGAATTTGACCTTGTGTCCTGAGAGCATTGTGATGTACAATGTACCATGATGCACCCAGAGCAAGTCGGTGTGGGAGACACTGGGAGGCAATCTAGAATCTAGAATTGGAAGGCACCACAAGAAAATCAGTATCAACCAGGCGTCCCTCTGAAACTGCTACAGTAGGGCAAACACTTCATTCAGCATCTCCTACGTTTCCTGATTCTAGGCAAGCGCAAGCACCGGTCGAATCCGATCGCTTGCCAAGCATCAGTTTGGTACGCAGGAGTGGTTGAAGCGGCTGACCAGCACGCAAAGACTACCGTCCAAAGACTCGCTATAGCAGCCAATACCTGCAAGATGAATCACATCCCAGTGGTGCCCCAAAGCTGGACAAATAGAAAGGAAACAAGCCATCAGTTCAAAACGGATAGCCCGACTCGTCATCCCAACACGCTGAAAGCCACCAGTGGACCAGGGTGCTGTTGGTGTTGAAAATGCCTGTGAGCGTCTTCGGTTCCTCCGTATCGTGAAGGCTCATCAAAGCCTCTTGCGTCTTCTTGGGCAAAGTCTCCTAGGTACGGCTGAAGAGGTTGCCGGAAAAATGGCTGCCCAGACTCAGACTTCCTGCATCTCAACTTCAACTTCGATTACATTATGAATTACATTGTTGACACTTCTATTCATGTCTGGGAGTTTGGTGAGGGGCAGGGAGTGACGTGACAGGAAGTGCCGAATGTCACTGTTGTGTGCTGCAGAGGTCTGCAGCCAATAACTCATTTGGGATCTGACTGATCCCAAACCTCCATGACCAACGGCACAACAGCTTGCCACTCAAACAGAAACACCTGTGAATGGGCTCCTAGAGTCTGAACATGTCTCCTTTGGCAGTGCCCATCCTGCAGGCTCATGGCCGCCATGCTCTCCCAAGCATTCCCAAGCCAACCCAACAGGAGGCCAAGACCATGTTCATAGCGTTTCAATCATTTCGCTCCAGAACGCCCAGTCCAAGCTGCAAACTGCTTCTGTATCTTCTCCTCCCAGTTTGGTGCATCCACAAACGTGATCGGCCTCAGTCTCTGTGGGCTCTGATCCGCCCCCAACTCTACCTTTGGAAGTCTATGTGGGCGGCCATGCGTATGCCTCGCGTGCCCAGGTTGAAATCGTCCAGGCCGAAATTGCATTTGATTTCTAGATCTCTTCACTTCCTCCGTCCATCCCAATCAAGTCAGCAGGACAAACCTACCAGCACTTTGAACCCTTCAATCCAAGCCAGCTAGCTGCTAACCTCCACTCATCTCCCACGCATCTCCCTTCACCGCCATCTTCTCCAGGCGGCGGCCGCTCTTCAATCACCAGCTCACCCTCCGCAAGGTCGCGCACCGCCACGGCACCAAGGCCCTTCCCGGGCACATCGCGGATCTCCTGAGCAGAACAGAGTTGATGGCTTGGCAACGTAGAGCCTGTAGAGAAATCAAAGGGATCAAATGAGAACACTAGTTCTTGTATTTCTGGTGTGGCTTTCGGCTAATTACTGCTGTACCGCTGACTGATGACTATAGTTACTATAGTTACTATAGTTGTGTGACACAACACACAACATACTCAGTCAAGGCACAAACGGACTCTGTGCCGCACGCCCAGCAAGCCGTGCCACAGCATGCGCACGTGCAGCGCGAGCAGCACCCCAGCAGGCGGCAATCGTCAGAGCTCTGCAACCGTCTGGGGGGTCCAGCACCTGACGATTGCAGACGGGATCTCACCTCTACAAGAGACAGCAGTGTTGGCATGTTGCCGGCACAGGCAGCTGGAACCACTTCCAGTATTACTGCTTCTCTGCCCTGGCATGTAGCATGTGCAGCCCTGTGACAACACAACCAGTTCAGGATCTAGGGCCCAAACCTGCGAGACTTTAGCATTTGCTTCCAAACTTGGGTGTTAGATGAGCAGGGTTTTAGAGTTGCAGTGTCATGTCAAGCCTCTCACATACCAATAAAGGACGGTGCTGAGATGGTCTGTACACACACCACGCTTTTTTATGTTACTCACTTGAGTTCGCCCACCTTTGGCTTTCCGCCCAGCCAGCTGCGAGTGCTGGGGTGCAGAGTAGCCACGCTACACGGCGCCCAAGGCACAGTTGTTGGCAGAGCGCTCTGCCACTGCATCTGCAGCATTTCTCGTAGAGTTCAGGGGCTTCAACCCCTTGTTGTAGCAAAATCTTGCACAATGAAAGGTTTGCCCAACAACCAAGGGAGGCTCACGGCCAATCCAGGATTCCTTGCTCTACCTTGCCACGATTCTTTGGGTGGCCTTTTCTATATTGAAACAAACTCCTGTCTATTTTGAAACAAACACATCGTGAAAGCTGAGCTCTAATTACTAGTTGGGAAGTAAATTTCGCATTGGTGAAAGAAATGACAACATTCTGAAAGCTAATAAGTGCCTCACCACTCAGCCAGAATAACTGCTGGAAGCCGCGACTTGGCAACCTACACGACCCCTTTTCAGGATTGAGTATCCTCGAATGATGAATGATGCATAACCTGGGCGTCAACCTGGATGGATCCAAGAAACAGTGTTGCATGTCACGCACAAAGACTGACACCCGTCGCCGATGGTATGTCGAATGTAAGGCACCTGTCTTGGATGAGGCGCTCAAGCTCTTCAGCGGTCAAACCTGCATGTGTTGGACTAGCAAGTGCTTGGGGAACTCCCTTTTGCTCCGTGGCTCCCTGCTTTAAAGAAAGAATTGACATCCAGGCTCCAGCTCCTTAGCTTCCTTAAATAATGCAAATGACAACCCCTTTGATCATGACCCATCTTCACAAATCTCCCAGTCCAATTTCTACTTGTAATCAATCTGGGGGCGTCTTTGGCACCAGGCAGGGAACTCAATTCTGTGCGCAAAGTGGGCCCAAGGTCAAGACTGAGGCCGCTCTGCGTGAGGCCCTGCCTGAAGCAGCAGCCGACTCTGAGCGTTTCATCTTGTTCTTAAGGGATGGTTAATAAAGTAACTATGAAGACAAGTTGAAGACAAAATATATGTCTATTTGTATTCCAAACCATCAGGTTGTGCTGCGTGGCACGACAATGCTCTTTGGATCTCTACAGAGTGTGCTGCCTCGTGCACCTCGTGCCCTTCATAGATGAATGCCAGAATCCAGCACAGCTGTGGCCATGATGTCTAAACCAGTCCAGTCTCAAGGCTCGCTTCCAAAACCCGACCGAGAGTCCGGTAAGAATCCTCGTCCACTCCTCCGCTGTCCGGTCACCTGAGCTCCCCGCCCCACAGGTGCTGGTTCAGGACCGCGCGAGCCAGAGGAGCGCGACCTCTCTGGAGCCTGCGACCGAGACGGCTCAAAATGGCTTAAATGCCCATGTGGATCCATGTGGTGATGTTTGCAGACATCGAACCACTTCACCAGACCACAAGAATGACCTTGACTCATTTACAAAGGACCTTTGTTGGAAGGTTTTGCATGGCTTTGCCAAACTCGGTCCTTGGAATATTGAGGTGTGTCAAACCAATCTTTGCTGAGGAGATGTGTGGTTCGCTGGGTTAAAAGACTTGGCCCATGCTTGAAAGCGAAACAACTTCATGACAAATCAGCTGGATGGTGTTGCAATAACAGTTTGTGGCCTCACCCTGGGCCTGCCTAACCTGCAACTGCAAGAGCCACGTTCAGCCGTTTAGCTGAAGGCTGCAGGTGTTAAAACTAACGTATAACTTATGGCTGTCGATCCGCTTGCGCAGGCCCTTCAAGCCTTTCTCCGAGCCATGCCAAATTCTTGAGTAGTGCCCAACACTACTCACTACTCCAAAATATGTTGGCCTTGGTGGAGAGCTGCAACTCCTGCGGAGAGGTTCAAGCTTCCGTGGCAAAGTGAGGTTTGTAACAAATTGTTTTAAAAAACAACATCCATCGCAAAACCCACATTCAAAGCACAGAAACTAAGAAGCTCCAAATAAAATATTCGTGACACAAGTAGCCTGCGAATGTTTTACAATGAATGTCAAGGGAATATGTCCCTCCCAAATGCCCATGGATTCCAAGCTCCTCTAACCTGGATTCCAAGCTCCGTTGTGTCGCCTCCAGCTGCTGCCGTTCCTCCTGTTCCGCAAGTGGAAGTCCAACAAAAAAGACGTGGAGTTCGATGGTTTGCACTGTGCAACTGAATCGATTTGTAGTGCCACAGCTCACAAATAAGTATAATAAGTCTCCATGTTGTCACTGGCATTCTCCTCAACGGCGGAAAGAACAAAATCCAGCTTTTTTGCATGCACATGTTTGACCCAAGCTTCGCAGCAGGGTGGAAAGTTGCCACTGCGACCACCCCTCATCCTACAAGTCAAACTCATCAAATGAATCCACCTCAGTCATCTGTCCGTTGTTGTGGCGCCTCCCGCTGTTTCTGCAGAGCCTGCAACTCAGATCGCGCAGTTCTGAGCTCCTGGAGTGGCCAGGAATTGTTCTCTGCATCCGGCTGTGCAATGATTTGAGGGTGTTTTTGCAGGTCACCAATCAACCGTGAGCATCCCCAGATTCTGAATCCAGGCATGTGGTTCAAGCTAGTCAATACAGGTTGTTCATGTTGTGGGGCGATCCTTCTACAGAAACATCTCCAGCAAACATCAAAATTCAACTATATAACTACTTACACTTACGACATATTCATTACATGTGTATAGGTATACACGCAATTAATCAATAACAGCTATATAATTGCAAACGAATCTAAGGACAATGAACCTTTCTGGTTGACTTGTCCCGACGTCTGTCGAATTGGGAACTGTCCGACTCGTGCGCTCGCCTCTTCCAACTCAGCCAAGCGCCAAGAAGGCGCCGTCTCACCTGGCAAGGTAGGACCCATATGAAGCCAAAAAGCTAAGAAGCCAAGGGCTTGAAGGCTTGGTAAAGGAAATCAACGACATCCTACAAGCCAGGTAATTGAAAGAGGTGGAAAATGGAACGGGGGCTGAAGTCTTCCATTATCGGAATCATCTCATCAAACTCCCACAAGCAATGGACCCAGGCAAGAGCTGCTTGCACTTGGACCATTTTGGACCCACTTATTTTGTACCGCCCACCCTGTCAAACAGCTCACATCCCTCCTCTACCTTCCCATCGTTTCTCACGTTCCATGCCGTGGGTCTTGCTTCAGAGCTTGAAGCAACTATAGGTCAAAACCAGGTGAAACGCACCTGCCGAAGCCAGCTTCCCTTTGGGATTGCCAGCTTGGCATCCTCCGGTGTCCAACGCGATGCCATGGCACCCAGTGCCTGAACAAAGCCCTGCAGGAAAGGAACGCCTATTGATGTGATGAGAGGGGCCAAATGGGATGGTGAGGAGTAGGAATTGGACATCTAGGAAAAAAGAAGTCCTGTCGGTGAGTCCACATAGGTCTATTCCAAAACATTGCCGCCAACCTCCCAAAAGCGTGGAAGAGTTGCAGTAAAATCATGTTGCGCAACCAATGGTGTAGAGGCCTTTCCTAGTGCAACAAGGTAGGGCAAAGACTCTCACACAGTGAGAATGTATGAAAGCATACTATGACTCTAAAGCCAGTCTTGGGCAGAGGCAGGGCATGGACCACGTTCTTTCAAGCTACTCACTGACAATCAGAAGAATGATAAGAAAGGCTACAATTGTTTTGCAGCTACCCTATGTGTCCATCGCCTCCTACTCTATTCGTGAACAGTGATCCAAGCTTACACGCGCAGAAAATGGGATACGCGATCGCCTCGATCTACGGAAAACACGGCGTTTCAGAGGTTGGCCACTTCAATCTTCGCAGGGGTTGATGGCGGTATCATTGGTCGCATTGCACTCCTGAGTCGTGGTGTTTGAGCAAGGACATCATGAAGCGCCGCAACACGCCCAGCTGGTGTAGAGCCCTTCTAAATTGTGGGGCGATTGTGTGAGTCGAGCGAACAAACAAAAATAACAAAAGAGTGTTTCAAAATGGGCCCATTCTAGACATCCGTAGACTCATCTAGACTCTAGGAACAGCAATCTCAGCCCAAGCCACCCTGGCCGCAAAGCGCTTTGGGGTCGCACAGCGCTTTGCGGGCGCATGGCGCTGCCCGGCCGCGCAGCACTGCCCGGCCGGCCGCGGCCCGAGCCTGGCCGCGCGGAGGCGCTTTGCGGGCGCCCAGGCACACGCCGCTTGGCGGAGGGTGGTCGCGCCCAGGCTTCCATGGTCTGAGGACCTGCAGATCAGCAAGGCCAAACCTTCGTGGAAAAGCCAAGAATGCCTCCTAAGGTTCGGCGTGCCACGCGCCCTAATGGAAGACCTCCTATACAAAGCATGCATTCGGCTTGCTGGCATTCATTGAGTCACAGTCTAAGCACCAAGTGCATACATCGAGCATCTGAAGAATGGGAGGTTCCAGTTCCAGCTGCGACTTGAGCGTCCGCTTGAGAGTCGGCACGCCTGCTGTGCTCGGCCTGCTGGTGGAGCCCTGACTGCCTCCACACGGTCCCGAACGTATACAATCGTACAGTGTACAATTGTCTTATACACCATGTACCTATGGCAACTTATTCCAATGGCAAGAACTGTTTCTCCAAACCGTTTGGCACACCTTCTCCATGTCAACGAACCTCCATCATCCCATATTGAGGCATGTTCTGCAATCTGGAAAGAAATGCTTTTGATCTGAACATTCCCCGTCTTGGCCTGGTATTGAAGGCGGCAAGTGGATCGAGGGAGGGAGGGGATCCTTGGTAGTTCCGCCAGTGAATAGACGTTCAAGTTCATGGGGATGCTGATTTGCGGAACTTCTACTCAGAGTCTACCCTCAGCGACTCAGGATCTTGAACCCGCTGCCATTGCCAGTTTAGCGCTGGCTCAAGGAAAGCTGCCCGTTCTAAATGTGAAATGGCGTGGCTGGGAGCAGGCCAAGCGTCGATAAGAGGCGACAAGGAGCATTTCTGCTTCCTGGCCTCTTCGGCCATCACTGCATAGCCTCAGCTTCTCGGCTTTGGCACTCCGGCACGGTGGGCCACCTGAATTGCCTGACATCCCCATGAACAAAATAATTATGAACAAGAATCCCGATGAATCAAAGGATCATATGAATCATATGAAAGTTTCGAGACATGAAAAGCAACATAGAACCGCTTGTCCTCCGATCCAATACTCCAACATCTACAGTAACAGCAACATCATAAGGTTCCCGCGTGCAGTGCAACAAGTCGCCCTGACTCACCCAGCCCCCTTCCAGCAAAAGCACGATTCAGGTTGCCAACCTTGAAGT